AAGGTTTGTTGGTGTTGATAATATTAACCCTATAAATTTAATTATATTATAAATAAAATTTAACTTTAATTATATTATAAATAAGATTTAACGCATCAAGATTTTGGTAAATACGTTTGTAAGTAATCTCCTTTTGCTAAAACCTCCGAACTTTTTATGTTGATCTAGTTATCTTTCAATAATAATTCGCATACCATCCACATTCTAAATGAGGAGGTCCCCTTGTTCTAAATGATGTCGTTTTGAGCTGTTATTTTCTTGTTGTTGACAGCCGCCTTCTTGGTTTCTAAATTACTAATCCTCTATTTATAACATCTATCTTCCAATCCCTTCAACGAAATTTCATGGTAATCCCTCGTTTATTCATATAAAAACGAAATCAGCAATTTAAATATTGATTTGTGTGTTTTACTGGCTTACTGCATTCTACGTGTGCCAACTTCTCACCGTCCACCACAAGCCAACCCAGCTCAGCTATTTTTTTTTTTTTTCAATTGTTGAGCACAACCCAGAAATCCAAGAAAAATCAGAAAACCCCACATCGAATCTTGAGAAATCTGTTTAAATTTTGACGAATCGAGAGAACTTTGAGGGTCAAAGTTGAAAAAGAAGATGGATAACGGCAATAACAGTGGCGGAGGCGGTGGTAGTGGCGAGAAGCAGAGCCACCGTCTTCCGCTGTCGGATGTGGTGTCTGATTGCTTGAGAAGATGGTTTCAAGACACCCTGAAAGAAGCCAAAGCCGGGGATCTGTCTATGCAAGTTTTGGTTGCCCAGATGTACTTCAATGGCTATGGGATTCCAAAAGATACCCAAAAGGTTTGATTTTGACCTTTTAAACTTCGAATTTTGACTTCGATTTCCTGGTTGTTTTCAATTCGTAGTATGCATGTTTATTAGGAATCCAGGAATATGATGAATTGGGATTTTTTGGGCCAATTTGTAATTTCTAAAAACCCCTTTGAAATTTTGACTATTTAGGATAATCAAAGGTCAAACAGATACGCATAGAAGTGATTCTCACCTTTTCCCTTGAATTTGGAATCAGTTCTTGAGGAACAAATATGTGTTTTTTCAAGCGAATACTGTCAAAAATATAATCGTCGAGCCTTTGCCCAAATTAGTTTCTTCCCATAAAAATTGTAGCTTTTCTATTTTTGGGAAGTTTTTAGATTACTTTACACCTATTTGCTTCTGTTCATGTTATAAGTTTCATCAGGCTTAATGTGTTTAACCTTTTCTGCATAAGCTTAATGTTTGATTCGCATTTCATATAAAAACTTGTTCATGTTTTCTCTTGTGATATTGAACTTTCAGTAATGTTCATCAGTTAGGGGCAATATACATAAAAGCCACAATATTTTGTGGTTTAACCACTCTATTTTATTTCAGTCGATGCAAATCACCCATAAATCGCATCTAATTTTTTTGTCTAGGGACCTTATTTATAATCACTTATAGTATGCAAATAAATTAAGTGTATTAATCATATAATAAGAATGAATTATCAATGTCTTTGTTTCAGGCAAAAATTTGGATGACAAGAGCTGCAAGAGTCCGTTCTTCAGTTTGGAGAGTTAGCAATAAACGTCCAGGTCATCTCTCTCTCTCTCTCTCTCTCTCACACACACACACACACACACTCTTCTCTCTCTATAGATATTTTTGAATGCATGTGTTCTGAATCACTAAGAAACTTCTAAATCATTTGATTATCAGGCTATAACGCAAGTGATTCTGATTCAGAAGAGTTGCTGGATGACTCTTGATATACATGAGAAGGTAATGCACCCCAATTTAATTCAAACATGTTCTCCATTTTATGAATTTCATGGATTCTTTTAAGGATAATTTATCAAAGTATTCGACTCTTTTCTATGTGGTTATTTGAGTTGTTTTTCTCTAGGACCATTATTATTTATTATATTGCCTTTTTTTATGCATTTTAAAAGTACTTGTATGCAATCACTTATAATTCCTGAATGTGTTGTTTGAAAGGTGGTTAGTGATAAATTTAAGTGAAAATGTATATAGATAGAGAGAAGACATGTTAATGATAAGAAGGTTGAATGCAAGTAATAAGGTTAAAGTGTTGATTATAAAAGAAATAGCGAGATAATAATTGCCCTAATGAAAGCTAATTTATTATATTGTAGAGAACATGAAAGTATTCACGAATGCCTATGATGAATAGCAATGCATACTGAAAATAGTAGTAATATTCACCCAAAAACTAAAAAATAAGTTCAAGTTGTAGTATTTGCTACAAACTTAAGGCAGTGTTTGTATGTGTCCATATAAAGTTATTATTATGACTTGAAGAATAAAAAAAAAGATGTTCAAATATTCAGATTATGAGTTAATTGAATTATTTTGAGTTTTTGACCCTTAACTTGTCAAAAGACGCAGAATCTTAATCATAAACATTGAAAACTGATTATTGTAAATCAGATCACAATATTGAGTTTAAACACACATCCAAACACCCCCTTAATGTGGTTGACAGATTTATTTTATTTTATATTCTGCAATTCGTGGAATTTTCAAATTCTAATTAAAAAACCAAGCTTTTCGATTAAAAAAAAAGAGTCAAAATCTCTCTTTTTCTATTTTATATTCTGCTTTCTATTTTAAATTCTGCAATGCCTGGAAATTTTCCAATTGTAATCGAAAAACCAAGCTTTTTGATTTAAAAAAAAAAGTCAAAATCTCTCTTTTTTCTGGCCCACAAGAAGTAGATTGTTTTTTTTATTTAATTTTATTTATATTTTTCCTTCCATATGTACGTTAACCTCATCATACATCCGTCAATTATTCCTAAATAGAAGAAAGACAACATGCTAATTAAAATTTTTCACAAAAATACATGACAATCTTTGATATAATAAAAAATTTAAGAAATATTAACGAATGCCCATATTGCATTCCGAAAGAGCATAAAACTTGTTGAAACATTAAAAGAGATACATTTTTAATTTTTTTTTCTTCATTTCAAATGTTGGTACTTTCGGTTTTACAAATGGCAATATTACATAAAAGGAACTATATATTTTTCATTTCAAATTGTTTACAGAAAAGGACAAGAAATGGCAATTGTTTAGATATTTGAATTTTAGCCCGTAATTTTCAGAAAAATCCCTACATAAGATTGTTGCTTTATTACATAAAATGCCAAAACTATATTGCCTAAAATTGTTGCAAATTAATTATGTTGCTATAGTGTGTAAAGATGTAAATAGCCCTTCATCTTGAGTTTAAAAGTTCGATTGTTCTATTGTTTGGTATCGCTAACTATAATGTGGATTTATATTCATGATGATAATTAAACTAATTTATTTATTTATTTATTTATTTTTTTGCAGGGCTCTTGGATTTGTTCAACTAATTAATCATTTGTACGGAAATGCACATGGCTTTTTAATGCATATTTCGCCTTCTCATTTTGTTGTTCGTTTTAAAGAAAAAGTCCTTTTTGTACAATTGACTGGTTTTCTGGTCTTTGTTTGGTGTAGAAAAACTTTGCTTTTTTAATTTTATTTTTTATATGTGGATGAACAGTTTGTGAGTTCCTAGGTTTTCTATTGTTGATCGTTGTCGGTTTTATTATTTTTGTTTTTCTTTTTATTTTAGTTTTACCGGAAAGGGTACACATTCAGATTCTCTCTCATCTTTTTATTTTTTATATTTTTTAAACCTGCAAGTACATTGTGAAGGGTGTTATTTTTGTTACAAAATTCAAATCATAGGGGTCAAGTTGTAAATTCAACTTCGTATATAAATTTCTTTAAGCTGTTCCTGGTAATTTGATAAATGTTTTTTGGTTTATTTTTAATATATATATATATATATATATATATATATATATATATATATATATATATATATATTTAATACTTGGACATTACGCTAGGTTATGTTATTTTATTTTTGTTACATGCATTTATGGTTGTTTAGTATATTAAATAACAAATGTCACTTTGAGCAACTATTGAATATATAGATTATCATATAAATGTTATCATGGGTAACTATCGAAAGTATAGATTATATACTAATTGAGTAGCAACTATTGAATGTAAATCTTTTCAGATAGCTAAAGGGGTGAAGGACCTTAGAATAATAAGTAAATATTAAGGATTGTATTTTCAATTTTAAAAGTTTTTAGATAAAAGTGTTTATTGATTTATGGTAGTGACTTAGTGGGTAACTAGTGGCAAAAGAAGTTTAAAAAAAATTGGATTATTTTTTGTGGTGAAAAAGGCCAACAAGTTAATATGTTAAAATGTGTGACTTATTTAAAGCTATTATGGTTAAAAAGAGTACTAAAATGTCAAATTTATGTTTTTTTTAAAATTTAATTTTGAAAGCTAAAAGAAAATCTATTTTGAGAAGTGTTTTTGAGTTGTCAAATATTTTTATAAGTTGTTTTGAGAAACAATCCCAAACACCTTATAATTGTGTGCTCCCTTCACATGGGTGGAATATAAAATACACAAGGAGAGATTTATCTGAGGATACAATAAACCTAGTCTAATATAAATTCTTTACAAAGTAAATAACTAATTAAATAAATATTAACGATATTTTAAAACTTTATGGTTATCTATTAAACACAACAAGAACACCACTTGAGTGGCATTGATTGGAAGCCCTTCATGAGAAACCTGAAGAAGTTCCAAATGAGGAGAACGTGAATAAACTTGATGACTTATGAGAAACATTGCATATTTATATAGAAACATTGTATGTATATGATGTATAATATAAATACAATTCAATTTCCTTTTTCTTTTGTTTTTCTCCAGAATTCGGCAACTAATAATTTGATAAAATTCATGTGATTGATACTTCCTTTAAATCAGAACATGTAATTAAAACATAATTCAGTTTAATCTACACGCATAAAATAATTAATTATACCAATTACCTACTACCCATGTCATGCATGTTTTAAAATAATTATATCAGCTATCTACTACCCATGGCATGTTTCATACTTTTATATTGGCTGAATTTGCAAGGGTATAAAGGTCATTTTCATCATTTGTTGTTTCAAGATACAATTATAAATACTCACGCAAACATTTATGGATCAAAGAGGGAGGATATAAGGGAAAGAGAGAGAGAGAGTAATGGACAATGAACAGCTTCTTCCCCGTCATCAATATCATCATCAAGATCCTATCGATACATCTCTTCTAGCGTCTCTATATGTCGGACACTTCTTAGCCAGATGGGGTGCCAGGTGTCACTCACTCACTCTCTCTCTCTCTCTCTCTCTCTCTCTCTCTCTCTCTCTCTCAATATTGTAATTTAATAACAATATATTTCAATTTTAGGTAATTTTTCTCTGCAATTTAAATTTAATATATATATATATATGCAAATCGGTTCATTCTATATTTGAAAACTTCAAAGAAACCCTAAAAACCCAAAAATCGATTTTGCTTGTAAATATATCTTGATTTGGGGGTTGTTTTTACATGTGTGTAATTGCTATGATTTAGTCACATTAATATCAAAACATGTTTTCGTTTTTTTCTTTTGTGTATTCAATTTATATCCAACACATTAATTTAATTCTATTGGTTTAATTAACACTATTACATTTTAAGCATAAGATTTAAATATTACTAACTATTTTTAAAAGTCAACATGATAAAAACCAAATTAAATAGTTATAAGATACAAATTCGTTTGATTTTTATTGTATAAAACTATAACGTACGTTATGGATAAATAGGACGTGGGAGTTTTCGGTGGGTTTGTATATGATAAACGTATGGCCAGACTCTTTGCTTATGGCAGCGGCTTATGGAGTGGTCGAGTCAGCATCGACCACCTTATTTGGTCCCTTTGTAGGCCAGTGGATTGACAACTCAACATACCCAAAGGTTCAATCTCTTTCTTATTACATCTTTCTATTTTAAGTAATCCTTCATCATCATTTTTTTTTTCTAACGTTTCAAGGATTGATTAGTAGAGAAAAAATATTACTCAACTGATTTGCAAAATTTCCACACAATGCGTTTAATTGATTTGACAAGTATTTATTTTGTAATCAATTTAAAAGATAGTCCGACACCAATTAAAATTATAATGTAAATTCTACCTACGTACTGCAAGTAAAACCTTTTAAGTCATGGCCAAAAAACGTGAGGTGGACATGACACCACCTACTCCTCTATCTATTTGTAGGCTTGTGAAAATCATTTAGTTTCTACATCATATTCTTTCCAATTATTATTATTTTTTTCTTAAAGTTAAAATCCTTACACTTATACTTTAACCAACCAAACCCAAGCTGGGATTAGCATTCTCCTTTATGTTTTATGGGTAGCTATAGGTTGTATAACATTTACCTTGCGAGATGGATAAAGTTTCAATCTTTTTTATACTATCTTCTCTTATCTTTGCAAAAGACATTAGCTCTCATCATAAAAAATGGCTCCATAATTAAAATTTCTAATCCATTACAAAAGGATGGACCCACTAGGATGGGTAGTTGGGCTACCCCTCAAATTTTCGGAGATAATTCAAAATTTTTAGAAATTGTTAGGGTACGTGTCACTTCTAAAATCATGTTTTTCTTGTTTTTCTGACATTTTTTTTTATGAGTCCACACATTTGGTACAATATAATCCAGTCATGTTACATCTAATATGAATCTTAAATTTTCATCACGTTACATGTAATAACATTTACACCTTTTTGTTTTGTTTTGTTTTTTTTTTCACTTCACGTGTAATATGAATCCTATAGCCGTTAAAAAAGATTGATACATAAGCATCAGAGACCATGTAGGTCCATCCCAATACCAGCCCACAAACTCCAAACCATTAATTATGGATCCGAAAAACAATGCAATTCATATCCCATGAGCCCATGATTTTGAAATCTTTGTTTAACAGGTTCTCCGAATTTGGCTAATAACTCAAAACCTCTCATTCATCGTTGCCGGAGTCACGGTGGTCGGACTTTTAATCTCTCCGGACTTGCGGGCCACCAACGTCACTGCATTTACATTGCTCGTCGTGTTGACCAATCTTTCCGGCGCTCTTGCTGTTCTTTCAACTCTCGCCGGAACTATCTTGATTGAAAGAGAATGGTAAATCTTCCAATTAAGGTCAAATCGTTCTATATGTCATATCATGTTTGACATTAAACGTGACATATAATTCAAATTTTGACAGGGTGGTGGTGATATCAGAAGGCCATTCTTCAAACTTACTAACAACGATGAACTCCAGAATCCGGAGAATCGATCTCATATGCAAACTATTTGCACCTGTCGTTACAGGATTCATCATCAGTTTCGTGTCATTAATCGCATCAGCTGCAAGTTTAGCAATCTGGAACATAGTCTCGGTTTTCTTGCAGTATTGGCTTTTAAACTCCGTATACAAAGGAATCCCAGCTCTCCAAGAACGCAGCAAAAAACGAGGACTAAAAACCAACATAGCTACTCAACAAGAACATGCATCCTCTTCTTCTACTTCTCAAGAACAACTTATCCAACATCATAACACAGAAGAAGATCTTTCAGAAGATGTTTCATCAAGTAATCCAATTGTTAGGAAACTCATTCAAAGGGTTTCCAACAGTTCGTTTATTCGTGCTTGGCGAGTTTACCTTCAACAAGATGTCGTTTTGCCTGGATTATCTCTAGCGTTGCTCTATTTTACTGTCCTCAGGTGCCATTCTTGATCCTCTAGTTACAAAGTAACGTTTTTTGTAAAATGATTGTTTGGAATGAAACGAAAGATACAGTAGTGTTCTTTTCGCTTGATTTAGTGTGATCTTTTTAACAGTTTCGGGACTTTGATGACTGCGACATTGGAATGGGATGGAATACCAGTGTATATAATTGGATTGGGAAGAGGAATAAGCGCTATAATTGGTATTTCAGCTACGTTTTTGTATCCTTCCATGGAGACTCGAATTTCAACACTTCGAACTGGACTTTGGTCGATCTGGTCACAGGTATCTTCCATGGAGGCTTTTTATCAAAGATTTTGAAAGGCTATCTAGAAGCTAAAGTCATGAGTTTTTTTTTTTTGTATGTATATATAGTGGGCATGCCTCTTGGCTTGTGTTGGCTCAATATGGGTTAAGAACAATACCGCATCGGCTTATTTATTGATGGCTGGAGTTGCAGCTTCACGTCTAGGGCTATGGACGTTTGATCTATCGGTTATTCAACAAATGCAGGTGACCTGATATGCCGTTGAATTCTAAGAATAATGATTCTAGATTCATGTTTTTTTTTTTTTTTCTTTCTTACATTTATGTTGATTGTGGAACAGGATCAAGTTTCTGAATCCGATCGAGCTGTTGTTGGAGGTGTTCAAAACTCGATTCAGTCATTCTGGGACTTGATGACATACATCATGGGGTTGATTATCTCTAATCCCGAGGTGATCTTCGTTCGTTATACCATTTACTTCCGTTATACAATTAATTTTTTTTTCTATCATTTATTTTTTGTTAAGGTGGAGTAAATGGGTAACAATTAAAATTATGTTGTTATAATTTCTAGTTTTAAGATAATGTTTTTTTTTCTGTGTTTTAGGATTTCTGGAAGTTGATCTTGGTGTCGTTCTGGTTGGTGACAATAGCAGTGATTATGTATAGTGTTCATATTTATCGAGTTCGGAAGCACCTCTTTCACTTTGAAAAACTGCTCATGTTATTTCGTAGATGTGTGTAAATATTTGGTGTTGGATACTTGTAATGTTGTAACAAATGGTCACAAACTTACAAGTATGAGACTTGATATACCGGCAATTCCAATGGCATTAAGTATTCGTGTTCATTTTAGATATGTTAGCATGTAAAACATGTACATAACTTAAAACACTTCAGAATCACGTTTAGCTCTCGATGATTGTAATCTGTAAGCCTGTAACTATGAATTTTGTTTGAGGTGAGATCTCTACTTCAATTAAAAAAATATATATTGTAGATTGGTGGGACTAGTGTTGTGTAAAATTAAACGAGTAAGATTTTTTTTTTTCGCCGATTTATATGTCCGTTTTGTGTTCAAAATCTAATATGCCGTAAATAATAATTCTATGTTGTATGTGGGCATATCACGATTACCATAAAATATGAACTACTTCAATTTTCCCTCTTCTTTATTTTTTTTTTTGTTGCATCTTTAATTGCATATTTGTTGTTTGAAAACCTATCAGTTGGTATTAGAGATACGGTTGAAGATGGAAAAGTTAAGTTTGAAGGAAGTGAGTGTTCAAGTTCCATATTGCGTATGGATCAGGGGCATGGGCATCATATTTCCCTTCACCTTATTTGATAGAGGGGTTAATAGTAGAGGAAAATTAGAATCATGAAAGATGACCAATTTAAGAAAAAGAAATATATCGTTTGTTGGAAAGGATCCGGGTATTTCATATATCAGTGACTCGAACTTTACCATATAAATGCAAGAAGAGGTAAAAATGGAAGCCAATTTTGACGATTCTTTATTTGTTGCATAGAGAATCTAGTCGAATATCGAAGCAAATCATTTGATGCCAATCTATTCAGAAAATCAATATACACATTTAAGCAATATAGTGACATGGTGAGACTAACATACGATAGTCTTAATAATATGTGTGTATGTGATGTTGTATCAAAATATCTCTTGGCTCGAATTCGACATTAAAATGTTAGATACATTAAAGATCTGAATAGAAGCATATTAATGTGGGTTAATTATGTTATGACAGAAGTATACAATCAACAAGATTAACAGAAATAAAACAAACGAAATTGAAATATATATATATATATATATATATATATATATATATATATATATATATATATATATATATATATATATATATATATATATATATATATATGAAATATACAAGAATCAGTTTGCAGAAAACATACTTGATGGTTTATGCTTACAACAGAAACACAAAACGAAATTATGTAGATTGAGGCCTGCAAATTGCAGTGTCCTAAGACAAAAATTTCCCTGGTGGGGATCTGTCTAGAGGATACAACAATCAATCAAGAACTTCTCTTGATTCTGACGAAATTCCTATGTTCTCTTCATCTTTGAAAGAACGAATTTTTTAAAGAGAATTCTGTGGTGTGAATGATGATTTCTGCAACCCCTTTCAGATGAATGAAACATGTATTTATAGGTATTAGTTATGACAGTTGGAAACTGTCAAAACCGAAAATAACTGTTAAAAACCTGTCATTCAGTAATTACGAATTTAAAAAAAAATAAAAATTAATTTCGTAATTAATCAGGAAGACCCCAAGGCCCAAGGCCCATCTTTTGACCATTAAATATTCTCTTGATATTAGCCCATTTTAAGTCCAATTAGGCTAATCCAACACCACAACCCAAGCCCAATATGCTTAACCCATTACTTGACCCATTTAGTTAAATGAGTGGGACTAGACATATAAGGTGGGAGAAGGTTTTCTCTTCCACCAATGTGGGATAAGTCCCACATTGTAATTTTGTAGTCAAAGTTCCAACAAATTAGACGACTGTCGCATATGGATTTCAGAGGTCATCAACGGAAGACAAGAAAAGGGAAAATAGTAGTTGCTTGAGGTTAGAAACATGGATTCTTGTACACGATTGAGGTTATTACAAATGGAACTAATGATGCTATTGATGATGTGATAATGACATAGACATAGGCACATGACGATGCTAGCTTCTAAAGGCATAATTCCATATTTAAAGACTTTGAGTGTGGTGAAGCTCCAGAGACCGAGAACCATCTTTTTACTCAATGCGGAATAACAAAAGATCTATGGCAAAGATTATCTGGCTGGTGGTGGCTATTGGATCCAAATGTACGTACGATTGGGGATCTCCTTAATTGCAAAAATCTGCTGCAAGGCCACAGGAGGTTGTCAAACATTCATGAAGGTATCATGTTAGTATTTTTATGGGTGGTTTGGAGTTACCGCAACTTGAAGTCGCACGCCTCAGGTGTTAAATCTATATCGGTGTTGGCTTACGAGGTCCAATCTTTCTCATTATTCTGGTTTAATGCGAGGAATAGAAAGGCTGCTGTCCTTAGATGGAATGATTGGTGCTGCGATCCCGTTCTGGAGTGCTACTCTAGAGTGTAGTTATTCTCCGTCTGTGTTGTTTTTGTTCTGTTCCCTTTTCTTTTCTTGTATGTTTTTCCTCCAAAACTTTTGTACCTCCTAGCCTCTGGCTAGTTTTCTTTTTTTGTTAATGCCAGCTTGCCGTTCGAAAAAAAAAAGACTTTGAGTGTGGATATGAGACATGCGATCTTGGAAAACAAAAGAGTTTAGCTTGGAAAGATCAGAACGTCTCCCAAGGCTAGATCGTTGGAGCCGGTTCATGTTGATGTGTACAGTGATGAGTCTAAAACTTAAAACCACGCGATTCACTATTGTAGTATAACCGATAAAAAATGAGAAAAAAATACTAGTTGCGGGTTTGGGTTGATGGTGGTGGTGAAGGTCGGCGCTGCCGTTGGCGATGGAAGAGGGTCGGCGCCCGACGCACAACATTGGGTGATTTCTTATTTGTCTTTATTGATGATTTCCGATTTGTGCAATTATGTATCACCGTATTAGCCTATGCAGTAAAGTGGGAGAAGAACGTGTGGAGAATGTATTTTTTATTGTTTATTTTTTATTTTTTCCTTTCTTTATCTAATCTTTACTATATTATTAAACATATTACCTCTTTCTTGAAAATTAAGAGGTATAATAGTTATTAGCTAATGTACAATAATCTTAAGCTTATATACCTAATGCACGGTATTACCTTTTGTGTTACCCTAATCTCCTCTACAAACAAACAACAGCTGCCGTCAAACCAAATCGCATCCTTGCCCTACGGAAGCTCCCTTCATACCAGAAACCGATTCTCCACCTCAAAGTGAAGCTGAAGATTAGGGTTTTTTCTCGCTAATTCAAAACTCTCATACACTGATTTTTACCAAAGCTAGCGTTTATCACTGCCACCACATGGCCACAATCTCGCCTCCATTTCTTCATAGGATGCTCCAGATTCGAATCGACGAGGGCTGTTGTTTCTCTGGGTTTAGAACTTCCAAGATTTCTGTACAATTTCCCTAAATTCTGTTAATCTCTCCTCCTATTGATCCCTAATGTATATAATATACACCGATTGAAAGCCGGACATGGGGCCGGGTATGTTCGATTCAGGCCTTGTCCAGACGATTCTTTCGATAGATAGCCGATGACGTTCGAAGTCTGCAACCTACCAGCGTGCAACTGCTTTGCAAGGTAAACACTGGAGTCGCACTTTTCCGTATCTCAGTTCACCCGACATTCACCACTCATGATTCAAGAATCAATCTTTATGTTTCTCTGCTAAGCAATTTTTTTCACTTCTCTTTATATCGGACTGAATTTTTTCTCAAGTAATTCAGTAAATGCATATTTGTAACACCTATTTCTGTAATCATGTCACATATTTCTCAAAAATCAGCTTTTCTCACCTACACCATTTCATCGCCTTCATCTATACGTATTCTTCCATTTTGACTTTTCCGTGTTTCAAAACCTGCTCCTCTCGCATACTTACTCTTTCCCTAATCAAGGGAATGGGGCGATGGTAGGAGCTCTCATATCACCGACTAAATCCCAATCAATGATGAAGGGGGAACAATGACCAAGGTTATTTAAGGTTTAATACTCCAGTCTTCATTACTATCACTCCTTTTCTTTTTTGGTATGAAATCCATTCAACATAGGCAGGTAAGTATAAACGTATGGATGCCTGTTGTTACAGATCCATATGAGTTCAATCTTTCATAATTATGGTTTATCTCTGGTTCATTTAGCAAAGATCTGAACAGTAGAAGCCTGTTGGCAGGTAAACTTTTATTTTGCCGAATTACTTATATCAAACATTAAGTTGGTTTCATATATATATATATATATATATATATATATATATATATATATATATATATATATATATATATATATATATATATATATATATACTTGCTATGTTTAGGATTAGTTCAGACAAACAACAGGATCGCCATAGGTGCAACAATCTCACAAATAGGTATAATTTTTTTTCTTATTCTTTTTTTTTTTGCTTTACACCTGCAATGCAATCTCATCTTGTGTTGATTTAATATCATAATCACAACATTTCATGAGGCTAATGAAATAGTTCATAAATATTGTTGCATTTTCCAAACCGTTAATTTCAGAGAGAAATGCCAAAAATACCCCTGTAGACTTAATTTTCTATAATAACTTCCTTGGGTTTCTTTTGTCTGGCCATTATGTGTATGTTATATAGCTTGGATATTACTATAAACTTTCCATTTGGATTCATGACATGATTTCGTTTTTGCATACTTGATTATAGTTATTAGTTACTGATCAGGCATGATTTCGGATGGGTGCAGGTACAATTAATTCGGATCCAAGTAAGAGTGTCAGAATATGGTTGGACTACTCAGAAGATCTTTCATTTCCTCAATTTCTTGGTTAATGGGGGTCTGTATATTTTTGTTATCTTTTCAAAAATGTATTTAGAAACTCTGGCATGTGTTGATTCTATTAGTTTTAGAGTATTCATGTTTTACAGGACATCATGTTTCAGTCTTGAATAATATCAGACTGCCAAATTAGCCTTTGACGTTGGCTCTACATTTGCCCCAGAAGATACAAGATTCACCGATTGGATTACATCTTAACTTATTAAGCTTTAAGTGTACTGTACATCTCCATGCTATTGACTTTCTGATTTTTTTTACTTTTTTGATATATGATATTTACTCTTAATGTTTTCTTAGAGTGTGTTGGTGAAGATATAGAAGATTTGGAACATACACCAAAAGCTGAATTTGAAGGTTACTTTAAAGTGACAAATGTGATACATCGTGGTTCCCACCATCTTCTTCTGAAGGCCTTGAAGAGTATTTCCTTTTTTGGATCACATATATTTTTTTTATCTTAATATAAATCTTGACAACTTATGGAAACATCCATCAGATGTCTTGTTCTAATTCTCTCAATCTTTTTATCATTTTAAAATCTACATCTAACAATGTTGCAGGTAAGACAAGATTGAGAGGTGAAAAAAAGGGCTATTTGCTACAATATCACCACAACGTCCATTCCCAAATTGGTCATATAGTCACAAAAGTAAGTTAAATCATGTAGTCTGTCTTTAATAATCATTACAAGATACTAAATGCAATGATTTTGGTTCATAAGATTTTTTTTTTCTTTAATTTTATATTTTTGATGTAAAATATCACCACATTGTGTGAATTTCATTATGCATATACAGCAAACCCTAAATAAACTAGGAATAAAACCTCTTTTAACAGTTTTTATTAAGGGGCTACTTAGATTTATGACAATTCCTTTTTTTTTTTTTGAGGTGACACAATTTTGATGGCATAATTGGGTTGAGGCTCAAGTTGAAAGAACCGGTGATTTCTTGTTGCTGATTGTTTTTTAATAATCATTTGATGTTTAATGCATTTTTTCAAAATTGCTATGATTTTTATTCTGATTTTTGTATATGCTATTTATTATGATATTTTTTATAATCATTTGATGTTTAATGCATGGCTACCAATATATAGATGCATCAACTTTTATGTATCATGTTCTAAATGAAAAAAGTTGTATGATTGACGATTGTTGTAACTTTTGTATCGTAAAATCAAATATTAACTTTCAAATATATATTAAACTTCTAATACAATTGTATATCCATAGATAAGAGATGAATTTACTTATCAATAACAATATACATATTCTCCATTTGGTCTAATGCACCGGTTTCAATTTTGGTTTTTAAGGACGATTTGTGTCCCACTACATTGCATGTGATTTCAATCGCCCTAGGAAAACTTGTCTTAGGAAACTTGAATGGAAGTGGCATGGAGAGACATAAACAGCAAAGAGAAGGTACCTTATTTACGAATTTACCCCTCTATTGTAACTTAATTTACTAACAGTTATTTATTGATTTTAAATTTGAGTATTAGTGATTACTATCATTTGAAGAGGCAAATTCAATCCAAAGTTGTTGTTGATGGATTCAAATCAAAGTCTTTCCTTGAGCTGTCTAAAGTGGATCAACAACTGAAGCTGAAAGAACGTTTAAAGAAATACTGCCAAAAGCTTTATAATTTTTTATGTTATAAACTTTAAATTTTATGTGACATGACATGTTAGCATTATTTACATAGCATTTTGTGATGCGTGTTACAGGCGTATAACAGAGTGCTTGAGAAGCCAACTCCTGAAACTAGAGAAGCAGGAGTTACAAGTAACATGCACTTTTTTGATTCAGATGGCATGAACAAGAAGTATGACACCCCTGAACAAAGTAAGAATATCACAAAATACAATAAAAATTGATGTTTATTTGGTTTATTGACTATTTTACCCCTGTTAAGGCTCATGGTTAAGTAAATATACAAGAAATGATTGTTTCACTTTTTGGTAAATTTGAGCATTTTTTTTTCATTTAGATGAGTTAAAAATGAACAAAAAGGACTTTATAACGATATGAAAGTCTTATAACATAATATATAATTATTTTATAATTTTCTACCCGTAACAAATTATGCGTTCAATATCTATCTCTAAGAACTCATACAATAACACTCATGAGTTCATAACAAAATAGGTTTTTTTACTATTATTTTCCACAATTATTATTTATGGGCTTATATTTTATTATTTATGGTGCAGAGCATTATATCATGCATATGAAGAGGTGAACAAAAGAATTCTTTTTTTTTCCTGTAACCGTTATAGCCCAAAAAACCGAAATATGTGTTTTCTATACCCGTTTTTTAAACTGGTCCAGTTAAATCCTAACTAGCGGTTTAATATAGGTTTTTCAAAAAATTGAAACTTTTTTTTTTCCAGTTTTTCTAAAAAACCCGATTCCTTTAACCAAGAAAAACATATTTTTTGACCTAATTTCACTTCTTAACAAACCGAACTGATTATAACCGAATCCGATTTTAGTATAACATGCTTTTTTTAAAAAAAAAAAATTTGGTTTTCAGAATAACCAAACATGTGTAAACCGTTATTTATGTAGGTATTGGAGGGGCTTTTGAAGGAAGGATTGT